TAAAAATAAGCTGATAAATAGAAAGATTTTTAATTTAACATAGTGTATTCGCAATATAAAATCTGTTCAAATCTATATTTTCTGTGTACATGTTTGCATGTTATAATGGGAGTTTTGATGCTCAAGATGCCATGACATCCAACACTGACAGCGCTAAAGGTCTCATTTAAGTACCTGGTAGGGATTTGGCATTTACCACCAATCCTTCCATAGCATGGTACAGAGATGTTCAATAATGCAGCAATTCTTATTTTTTTTAGAAATTTGCTCTCCTGAAAGTTACGAACCTCTTTGCATCAGCCTTGATTTGTCATTACTGTGTGCTAAAATACTGCACATAATATTCTTTAAAACAGCCTACAACTACACATGAGTGAGGGAATATGACTGTGTCACCTTTGGGCTTCACCTGAGTTTGTCTTTGTATCATTCTTTATCCTTTTCCTTGCAACATATCTCCAGTTAATCCTCTACATTCCTTTGACAGTTCTCTACAATCTTGATGTATTTCCCATGAAACCTGTTTTGTCACCAAAGGCGAGAAGTGCAAATACACATACATCTGCACATGCACTCACAGATTTGTCTGAATACATCATAGGTCGTGCAACGTTAGCTTCTCACATTTCCTTTTGAATGGACTTTAGAAATGGTGATTATTGTAACTCCTTACGCTGAAGTGTGTGTGTGTGTGTGTGTGTGTGTACATTGTGCATGCAACTGCATAATGCATAAGCAATTAGCAATTAGCTAAAGCTAACAGCCATAGGCATTTATCTATATAGGTTTTTAGATGTTTTAGACCTTTAGTTGTTGTATCGGCTGTTAGCAGGAAGAGTAATCATGCATTATTCATAACACCTGCTCCACTTACAGATACCCCTGTGTCTTCACCATCTATGTTTACATGGGCTTTGCAGGCTTATGCAGGTTTTCTGTGTCCCAGTTGACACCATGGTCATTATACGCTGCTCAGAATTAGACACAGCACCCACAGAGTTACCATCTATGTGTCTTACCAGAAGAGGGTGCCCCAGTGCATCAGTATTAACCTATACAGTAATATATCTGGTATAATACAGCAGCAGATACATTCAGCCTGATGAGTAAATCCACATGGACATTATTAACTGAACCACATGTGCGATTTATTTGTGCCTGCGTGTCCCTGAACATGTGACTCATTGGTGACAGAAGTCACCAGAGTCATTGTGCTGAATGTAGAGCAAGGCCAATCCTGTTAATTCTGCTCTCTGTGTTAAATTACATATCGACCCTCAGCCAGCCAGCACATGGACACATAACCATGTCTATCAATCTACGATTGGGCTTTTTATGCCAGAGGGGCTTGTGCTCATTTACACACAAAACAATATATGGCAATGCTCTGAAACACAGGAGAGAGAAAAGTGTGGTTGTAAACTACCGAGGATGTCTGTTTTGTGCTTGTTATGATGGGTTCCTTGTATTAAATACATTTCAGCCTTCTTTTGATTCCCACACATGCTGCTTTTAGTTATATTTGAATCAATGTTTTGCCAACGGGCCCTTTGACAATAACAATTATCTTGCTTACCTCACTTGCAAACATTAATGAGTACGTTTGTATGTGGCGTGTTTAGGTCTCTTTGTGCCTGTTTTCTCTTTTCCTGCTCCCTCTTTGTGTTTACAGTAATTGAAAGGGCTGTTTGGTACGACATAAAGTTTTTACAGCACTATAAATTCAAGTCTGACTAACAATGTATATCAGCACATTTTTTCCTCGAAATGTGTTTTTACTTGTGTAAAGTACTTGTCTACAACATTACTGAGAGATAATGTTAAACCTTACAGCTGTTGTGGTGTCAGCGTTACATACAAGTTGGAAGACCCGATTTCTGCAGAGCTGAGGCTTTGTGTGTTTTGTTCTGGCGTTTTTCACAGAGCTGAACAACTACTGTTTTACAAATTCAGGTTTGTTGTGCTTTGGGTGAAATGTTTCCAGATTGGTATTGTGTAATGTGGATACACTGTTTTCAGTTATGTCTTAAAGCCTAGTTTCATAGTTATAATGGGAAAGCATGTCTTTAAGTAGGTTCACATTTGCAGTTAGTGCTGGATAATACACCGATCAGCCAAAACATTAAAACCAGTGGTGGGTGAAGTGAGTAACATTGATCATTTTGTTACAGTGCAATGTTCTGCTGGAAGACCTTTGGTCATGGCATTCATATGGATGCCACTTGACACCCTCCACCCACCCAAACACCACTGTGGGCTAAGTAACCCCCCCCCCCTTTTCTCTACATTCATCATTAGCGAGGACCTTAGAATGAATCACCTGTTTGTATCGGTGTACAAGCATCAAGTGTTTGCTGTCAAGGTGGAAACTAAAATCCTTTGTTGCCAATGAACTGACTAATTGTTGCACCAGCCTCACGTAACTTTAAAGTCACCTAAGAATCCGAACAGTGCTGGCTTGAAACTGTGTGAATAGGACCTGACTTTTAGCAAGAGCATTCCTTTAATATCTGTAGGTATTTACTATGCTTCATATGTATTTGCTGGAATTATTCTGCATGCCTAATAATATTCTTTTGGCTTGAATCATGATGAATCAAGTGTTTGTTTGACATTCCTTTCTTTAGTCTGAGACTAAAACTCTCAAGTTGGCACTGAATTTGCGTTTGTGCTGTCAGGATGGGTCCTCTAGTTCCAGCAGTTCAGAGATCCGTTCTCACCTCATCTTGAGCTGTCCCAGACGCTACCACAGTTTTCAAACATGCTTGATTTTCTCTCAGCCAAAAACTGGGTGTGCTTGTTATTGGGACGCCTTGGTGACAAGTCTGAGACAAGACAAAAGCAGTATTTAATAAGAGCGCACAGGAAAGAGGCTGCAGACACACATACACACAAAATTAGTTGCAATGATAAGAGCTTCATCTGGGATGAAAATGAGATGTACTGACATATTAATACACATTAAAGACACACAAAAAGTACAAACCATCCCAACTGTTGGAGATAATGACAGAGATGGGTTGGATGCAGCAGAGCAGGATGCCCAGTAGCTCTTAGTGCAGCAGGTGGAGGTGAGATGGGTGCTGATATATTTGAAGAATCAGCACAGCACTGAATGAAATGCAGTAAAAATACAATAAGAGTTCAGTTGCAGACTGTAGTGCTATTACAATTATTTAAATGGCAAGTTCAAATTAAAGTTTATCACAACGCAAACCACAACCCCTCGGCAGTATGATTGCTTTTACAATCAGACGGAGGACATTTAATATATTTTCCTCTAATTATTACCAAGAATCGTTTTTTAGTTTATTTTTAGTGAACTTTGTCGCTCTCTAGGTAATTGTGTAGTGCGTTCCCTTTACTGTTTGTCTGATGGTATTGATTTCCTGTGGATTAATTCATATTTCCCTTCTCAGCTATAACCTTTTCTTGTGTCTTGTGTATATCCATTCTGTGATATTTTTACACCTGCTCTTGTGTTTGATACATACACCATATTTCTGGGGAAGAACGCATCACATGTGTACTTAAAAACTACAACAATCTGCCCCGCAGTGACCTTTCACGTGATTTACTTTCAGTAATGCAATTATTGATTTCTGCGTTCTTGGATGTTCTCCAAGTGGTATCATAATAATTATAGTACCAATTATAATCTCATAATAAGTTGTGTAGTTTCTGCACCCTTGTGTCAACAAGACAACAGTCTGGGAGAAAAGAAATGTCGTTAGGTGTCAGCTGCGCAGCAATTTAGAGATCTCAAAACTCATGTTGTCTGCATGTGACTTAGGGAGTGTACATGTGTGTAAGACAGAGAGAGAAAGAGCAGTGTTAACACAGCAGAGGGAGTTTTACTAATTTCTTTGCTCTAATTATAGCTGTGCAAACATGGCCATGCAATCGCTGCCTATACAACACTGCTGTTAAAAAAGGTGTCCATAGAGATAACCTTTCAATACCTCATCATGAAGTGTCAATTTATTCACCCCTAACCTTTATAATCATCTCATGTCAGGTAGGCTCTGGAGATGACCATGTGCACAGTACAAGCATTTCTCATGAGGCACCCTTGATTATTCTACACTCCCACTAAAGCTTGTGATGCTGCCTCTGGCTCAGATTGCAAAGCCTGTTCATAACTATATTCTACATGATATTTGGCTTTTATTAACCAAATCATGTCCAAAATATAGGAAATTTTGTTTATCTAACTTTCTTTTATGTTGTTGCAAGTTTGCACTGTACATTTGTTATGTTTTATATTATATCATTTCTAACGTGACGTTCATCTTCATTCATTCATCTTCTAACCGCTTCATCCTCTTGAGGGTCGCGGGGGGCTGGAGCCTATCCCAGCTGACATCGGGCAAGAGGCAGGGTACACCCTGGACAGGTCGCCAGACTATCGCAGGGCTGACACATAGAGACAGACAACATTCACACCTATGGACAATTTAGAGTTATCAATTAACCTAGTCCTCAATCTGCATGTCTTTGGACTGTGGGAGGAAGCCGGAGTGCCTGGAGAGAACCCACGCTGACATGGGGAGACATGCAGACTCCGCACAGAAGGGCTCCCACACCCGGGATCGAACCGGCAACCTTCTTGCTGTGAGGCGACAGTGCTAACCACCACACCACCGTGCCGCCCTCTAAAGTGACATATTTAGGGTTATATGTATGAGCTGATTTTATCATTGGGAGGTGAAGGGGATGGTGGATGGTGTGACAACAACACACAATAAAACCGGTTGTCTTTTAGCGAGCCATTGCTGCAATTCTGGTACCAAAACCAGATATTTTAGGCCAAATCATGATTTTTTTAAAAAATGTGAAGTTTTCATACATCTGCTACATAATATTGTACACATGTTACATAGCTGTGCTTCACAGAAACGTACAATGCCAACATTTATTGTGGTGGTTGGGTTGGTAAAATCAAATAAGATGACATTTAAAAGTCCTGGTCAAACACACATCTCTCTGTTGTCATTCAGGATAGCTGTGCACGAGTTCTCCTGTTCCGGGGGGCCAATAAAGAGATCAAGAACTACAACAGCCAGACCGCCTTTCAGGTATGTGTGGTATCCGAGAACCACCGCATGTTGTGTATCATCCTACCTTACATCTTTGACATGTTGGATCAGAATGGATTGAATGACTTCACCCTAACTGGACACTGTGCACTACACTTGTTTTTATGTTGATGTTTTGTTTTAATGATGTCTTTTATCTTATACACTCTGTAAGGTGACCTTGGGTGACTTGAAAAACGTCTCCAAATAAAATGTATTATTATTACTTGTCTTACACAGCCTAGTGCTGCTATATTGAGTATACTGATAGCTATTAAAAACGTAAGCAGTGTAAAGGCACCAATCTCAATCTGTGTCTGAATTCCAGCTTTCTGGTTGATGAAATCCATGTGAAATTGACACTGATACAGATTTCCTGTGCAGATCAAAGTTAATTTGTTTGTACACAAGGCAGGCTGGTCCACACAGTGCCCAGAACATGCCACATATACAGAGTTTATGCATCTGCCACAACAAAGGACTGAATGTATGAAACATTTATAAGGAGAGTGAGTGAAAAAGGGATGTATTTCTATTCATTTTCCACAGAATTAAAATTTGCTGTTACCTACTTTCCATCACTTGTGTGTTTACCCTTTTCACTCTGATTTATTCCTCTCTTTTCCACTCCTCCAGGTGGCTATTATAGCAGGAAACTTTGATCTGGCTGAAATCATAAAGGTCCACAAAGCATCAGATGTTGGTAAGTTGACAGCAGTGGTATATCACCAGACTACCTCAGCATTTTATAGGTTTAAACATGAATATGGTGTCAGGGAGACAGACTGAAGAATGGCTGAGCACAGATAGTGGAGGAGTTCAGGGAAAGTGATTACAGGTTATATACAGAGGTGTGGGGAAATGAAGGAAAGGAAATGGAAATATAAATGATGTGGAGAAGGTTTATTGGATCCCTGCTGAGTTGAGCAGTTTCTCTGTGGCATGTACATACAGGAAAACTCTGCCATCTAGTGAAGAAAGGATGTAATTCCCTAATTTTTACATTGTGAAATTTGTTATTCACATATTTTATCCCTTTAAATAATTAACATGTTAAAATATGAGTCACATGTAATGTTTGGAATATGTGGTTCATTCATTTTAAATAATAATTTTGCCACTCCATTATTACACTATAGATAAACTCTATTCATTTATATATACTGCATATTTATCTAGAATATTAAAAGTGTAATTAATATGATTCAGAAGGCACAACTGGGATTCAATAATATCATCTTCAAGGCTTTGCTGCAGTACCAGATCCACTGTATCACTTGATCCTTGTGTAAGTGTTTGCATATAGTTTATAGCTGTGTAAATATATTGCAAATGAAATGTAATCACAGCCTGCTGTCAGATTAGGAAGACTTAGTAACAGGCTTTAAACAAATTTGAGTGACCTTGAGCTGTGTGGAGTTGCAGTTATTTCCCTGTTAAAACATCCTGGTCATTGTGCTCCCTACAGTAGCTCCACATGATATAGTGAGTCTGTTAAGAGGTGCTCTTGGCTACATGTGTCTCTTCTCTCAGTGCCTTTCAGGGAGACCCCTTCCTACACAAACCGTCGACGTGTGACGCCAGGCACCCTGCCCTCGCCACGGTCCTTGCTCCGCTCTGCGAGTGACAACAACCTGAATGGCGACCACGATCACATCCACGTTCAGGCCCCCAGAGAAATTCGTGGCCGTCAGGGTCACTCCCCTGTCCCCTCACTGCGCAGTCTGCCAGCTCTTGGGCAGCAGCACAGCAGCCTCGGAGAGGTAAGATGGAGCTAGTGATGGGCTGTGCGTGTGTGTCTTATATCTTAATGTGTGTGTTCGCATTTTAACATGAAATTCAGAGTAGATAACACAAGTGAAGGAAAAAAGGAGAATGACAGTTTGACATAATGTTCCATACCTGAGATGATAAGATGATTGTACACTACACATTGTTTTACACGTGCACATCATACTCTGCTTTTTGTCAGAGTCGTCATGGAGAGATCCCTGACAGCAGTCTCCAGAGTACAGGCAGCTCCAGATCCTCCCATTCCCGCTCGCCTTCGCTACATCACATGCATGAAGACGACAAGCCAGTTCCCAGAAGGTCCCACAGCCATGGCTACCCTCATGGACACGGCCATCGCGGAAGACTCAGGTCTGTAGGATTTTGTTTGACCTCAGCTGAAACTCATTTCTTATTTCTAGTAACTACTCAGTTAAATGAGTTTTGATAGAGCTTTGTAAACAAACCAATCTCTCTCTTCCTGCTCCTAATTCAAATCTTACACTTACCATTTTTGGCAGATAGTCACTTTAAATAGATGATCTGTGATTGGCCCTGTGATTAAGCACCTACTTTGATATTTAAACTAAATTTCAAAAAGCAAAAAGCCCCTTGTGATGTGTCTGAATCACTTGTTAGTCATCGGGCAGCCTTCTGCATCTCATTCCATCTGCTACCGTCTGCTACTGGTGATAAACATGACATAACATCAATCAGTGCAAAATCTTGTTTATTTATTCATGCACCAATCCCAGGCACACATGAAAGTTGTTTTTCCGCTGAAACTGTACTTGCAACCTCCCCGGAAAAGTCATCTGTAAAAAGCAATTGAATATGAAAATGTATGGATTTAAAGTGGCTGACTGAAACAGCGATCAGTATGAGGTCTGTTATAATTGCATTTGGTTTTGCTGTTGTGTGGCCCGCGCTCCTGTCAGGGTATGAGGGCAACGGTCAGCAGCATAGTGTGTGTCTGGCATAGACAACAACCCTGTTTATGTAACAAGCGAGGCTGAAATACAGCATTTGTCCTGCTGGGAGGACAGAGGGCAAATAACATGCTTCAAATCTCTGTGTGTGTTCGTATGCGTATAGCCACGTGCACATGGCTGTGTGCATGGGTGCTTGCACAATTCAGAGACAGACAGATGGAAAGCGGCTAATAATGATCACCATGGGGACCAATTGAAGGCTGCCAAGCTGTGAATGTGTTTGTATGTCAGTTTGTGGGAGAGAGAGAGAGAGATTGAGAGACAGAGGATACATTCTGAAATTAGAGCTATGAGTAATGTCAGGACGGACCACTCGGTTCAAAACAGCTTGTCACTCGATTGATACATAAATCCAGAGACGTAGTTGTGCTGCTGGGGTGCTGGAACAAATCTCCTCCCTTGTACACTGAACCATTAGACAAACTGCACAGTAAACCAGGGCTCTGATCACATCTCAGAGCGGTAGATTTAAGTGGTTTACTGACACTTGGTTTGTTAAGCTTTTTATTATGATCATATGTCAGAGCAAGATCACCTACGTACTGCACACACTTAATGTGATTCCTGGATGCCACACACCGTGTATGTGTTTGTGTGAAACAGTCTGATGTCTGACAGGGGAATTGCATTACAGACACAGCTCCAGCCGTATTCCCCACTCCCTCTAATACTCTCCTGTCACTTTACTCCATCCATCAAAGGCTCTCTCCCCCTCTCTACCTCTCATTCTGTCATTCATACACACACACACACGCAAACACGTACACACGTACACACGTACACACTTCCATTAATCTACTGTATGGTTTGCAGCCAGACAGCAGTCAACATCCTTTATTAAATCATGCAACATGCACATATCACCCCGCACAGAAACTAAAGCTCGTAAGGACTAAGTTGCGTAGGCATTGTTTCCACACGCTTAAATCGAATTACATGAAATGAATTTAGTTCATTAATAAATTCACACTGGAGTGTTTACCTGCCCTCTTATCTTTCTATGAAATGTGAAGAAACTAACTCCTGATATATCTGGCATGCATCTATTGCTCTGTCACTGTGCTCATTTTGTACAAGGCTGATGAGCCAGAGCGCGAAGAAAGGGAAAAAGAAAAAGGAGGATAGTAAGTTTAGTATGTCCGCTGTGTCCTGGCCTAAATGGCCTTCTGTACACAGGGAGTAAAGACCTTGTTCTTCAGTGTGCATTACCCTTACACCAAGTATTAAAGTGAGGTGAATGTATAAAAAGCCCAAAACGAGCAGCTGGTCTCCATGGCCAGAACTTGCACCCAAGTGAGACTGATGCTGTCCTTGAATATTTTCCCTCTAATATTTCTCCCTCCCTCTCTCTCTGTTTCTCTCTTTGACCTTCTGTTTATGCCCATGGTAACTCTAGAGGCATTATGGGTACCAGGGGAGTGTGAAATTAGCTTGGCCGGTCAACAGCCCGCCCAACGGCAGACTCCAGCAAGTTCCTGTGGTACTCACCATCACTTCCTCCTCGGTGCACGTGTGCAGTGCTGCCAGGGTTCAATAGCTTTGCCAGGCTTCAGCAAAAAGTTTATATGGAGATAATAGAGAGGATAGAGTTAGGTCAGAGTGGCTTATTAAGACTAGATCACAAAAGAAAAACAAAGCTCCCCAAGACAGATTAAAGCACCGAAGTGTGCTAAAAACAGTCTCTCCAGCTGACGAGGTTGACAGTTTAATAAGACATGACACTGGGTGATGATATGATAACATAGCAAAATTGTATTTAAAACAAATTTGTCTGTGTCATGAGAGGTTAATTGGCTACTTACCATGATGTGCTGTCAATACAAAGAGATAATATATCATCAAGAGGACACTGTCTTGACAGTGTCAGATATTGTGATTTTGTGCTGTGTACCTTAGGACCTAGTTATCAGTCTTGGATTGGAAGAAAAGCTCTGAAGCTGCCAGATTGACAGATATCATTTTACTGAGCAGAGGATACCAACTATCATCTTTTCCATTTCCAGTGTGTTGCTCTTGTTTCATTTGTTTTACAACAGCCTTGAATGGGAGAACACTTGGGCAAGAGATGGATATGTAAGGTTTTTCCATGGAAGCTGTCACATCAGGGACCTGGGTGTGGATCCGTGTACACTTGACCAAAAAGTCCAGTTTGTTCTATCATTGTGAAAACTGTGAACTGTACTGGAAAGAATTTATTATTATTATTAATAGGATAGCCCTTTGAGATGTAGCATCTCATTTTCAAGGGGGTCCTAAAGTGCCTAAACCCGTGCGCAGTACGTCGATCCATGTCCGAACCCACTTTAAAAGGTGGTCTCTAGTACAGTTCATGTAGCCTGGTGAAACCATCCTAATCTCGCAAGCTCATATTCTATTTCGCTCCGCAAATCAGTCTGGCCATGCAATCATAAAGGCGCATTCTGGCATCGGTTAAAGCTTACCGGGCCAATCACAACAGTTTATTACTTTGGGGTGGGTTATTTGAAATCACGTCATCAGAATAGGAGGGACAAGGAGCGGAGTGAATGCATTTCGTAAACAACCAACATGGCTACTGATTTTGAAACTGCAATGGTAAATGTGTTGAAAGAACTGGAATGTATATTTTCTTTAAAAGCAGAACAAACGGCTGCACTGAAAACTTTTATTGAAAAAAAGATGCATTTGCCGTCCTTCCTACGGGGTTTGGTAAAAGTTTAATTTACCAACTGGCTCCGGTGATTGGGAAAAAGATGTGACTAAGTGAAAACCCAGTGGCTATTGTTGTTTCTCCGTTAGTTGCTCTCATGGAGGAGCAGGTCAGGGAAGCGACCAAGCTGGGAATCACAGCAATGCAACTCGGAGTCCACAGTGAGGAGGAAATCTGCAAAGATGGCAGCACTCTTTCCCAGAAATAATCACAGCTCATCTCCGCTGCAGCTTGCTGGTCTGTTTACAGTGGCGTTGTGCTAGCCTACGTTACACTTTTTGTTTACTCTGATTGGTTTTCCGTCTTTCCAGTTGCGTGAAGGGGCACTTTGAGTGACAGCCGTTGATACCGCCTCTTGGGAATAGAGGAAATGTACACTCCAGACCCATTCGCATTTTGCGAATTGGAATCGAGTATAGTTTGCATCAGGTGTGAAAACCAACCATACCAAAACAGAGAATTGGAATGCCATCTAAAGGAGCAGCGTGTAAGATTCATAGGATTTAGTGGCATCTAGTGGTGCGGACTGCAGATTGCAACCAGCTGAAACTCTCGGTTAGAGTTCCTTCAGTTTTCATTGTTAAGGAAGTTTTTACTGGGAGCCGTATTATCCGCAGAGGTCTGTCCAAAACAAAAGACCCAGGTGTTCAAAACCAGTAAAAACATTGAATAAGGCAGTTTTGTGTTACAAATCAGTGTTTCTCTGACCCTGTTTGGCTTGTTGCAGACGGGCCACTGGCCCAACACCTGCTAATATGTGCTCACCTTTTTGCTCTGACAACTTAAGAACTAGACATTCAGGAGGTTTTATTGGGAGATGAATTTTCTGCAGAGGTCTGTTCCTCTCTAAAACAAACAGCCCTGATGATTTAAACTGGTAAAAACACTGAATAAAGCAGTTTCACGTTATAAATGTTTTTCCAGTGCTGCTAGTAGCAGAGGGGGTAGTAACTACGGTGGCTGATGGGAAGATGCAGAATTGTAGGTGGCCCTGTCTCGAGCCCATGTTTGGTTTGTCCATTCTAGGCTACTGTAGAAACAACAAAATAGACTCTGTGGACGAGGGCACGCTGCCTATGTAGCTGATTCTAAAGTAACAAAAACACAACACATCTTATTTTCAGGTGATTATACACTACAGAAAATGTACCCACTTCATACCATTTCTGCCAATATATCCCCCTAAATCCTACACACTAGACCTTTAACACAAGTACCAACTGGCAAGTAGAGTTGCAAAGGCATCTCTCAGCTCCACTGGAGATCTCCTCCGAAATCTGCATATGCATGTAGCACACGCCGCTCTCTTAACTGCATGGCAGTGGGTGATAAAGAAGGGTCAAAAGATCATTCTTGACATTGACTCTAAAGTATTAACCATAGGCATAATGTAAAGGTTGACTCCATCGTATGGACTCGGGATCCTGCGATTGGCGCTCTTTTCTACACTGTTGCCATAACATAAACAAGTGTCAATGACGTAGAAGATGATACAAGTGTACTCTAATATGGAACAACATTACTAATGTGAAAGCTGAGCACTGAGGGAGTGGATAAAGGGGGCAATCATACTTTGACACGGTCCGAATCAATTGTACCTAATATGAAAACACCCTAAGAGTCGAGTTCATTAAAGCACCGCTAGCACAGGTTCTGTGAAATGCACACCCAGCCAGGCCATTGGTTGGACA